AACTGCGCAGTCGGAACAACAGCTGGCTGGCACCGTTTAACTTCAAGAACATTCTCTCAAGTTTATCTTAAATTTTCTTACTCATGGAAGGCAAAAAAAAAAAAAAAATAAATAAATAAAATTATGCCTTCTAGATGTGAAAAATATATATATAAAAAAAACACTGAATAAAATTAAAATTAATTACAAGAGAAAGTTGGTTAGGGATGCAGTCAATAGACAAATACTATGTAATGTTTATTTGGTATTTGACATTTTGAACTAAGTTGTATATACATATATATATTTTATCTTGTTCTTTTGTGCCTGATGAAGACCTACAACTTACTTCAAAACGTCAAATACCAAATAAACATTACATAGCATTACAAGACAAAATATATATATATATATATATTAGAAGTTACAAAAAATCTGATGCGTTGCGTGCATCACACATCTTACGTAAAAGTAAATATTACAGACAGTACAAAATATTATTTAAAAAGATTATGGTGAACTCACCAGTTATGGACAGGTTGTTCTTTAAATGTGAATAATAAGCTTCTTTGTTGATTTAAAGGTTCTAGTTTTTCTAGATTGAATAACAATGCCCCAAAGTTCCCAAAAGAAAATTTTAAAATGCCTATAAGTTTTTCGATAGTGATCTTGAGATCATATCTTCCTACTAACAGTTTTGCTTAGAGTAATCTGAACATTTATGTTATCTTTATAGTTTAATAAAATTTTAGAATTTTTCTGAGGTATATCCATTACTGGTACCGACCCCCTGTCCATTACTAGAACAATTGAAGTTCTGGATGTCCATCACTAGTGTAAAAACTTGTTTTTTATGGAGATTAAACCAGCATAACTGAATATTTTTTCAATTTTAAAGTGCTAAATAGAAAAGGGAGACCCAAGGGATTTCAAATGTCAAGCGGAGAAATTTATATCTATAATAATAATGGCGGTATAAGCCAAAAAAGACGAAAATTTTCTTAACTATGTCCATCACTGTTGGGCTGACCCTAATTACCATGCGTTTTTCACAGCCATCTAATTTATTATATGTATACAGTTTTTGTTTAACAATTTCCTTTAACGACTTTTTATGTTTATTATAAATAATTAAGTGCCACGAAATTTATTTATTCCGTCCATTGCCAATGATAACGAAGGCCGCTATATTTATTTATATTTATGTGGATATAAATTTTAATTTTTATATTGCTATAAACTATCATACATCAGTTATGAAAACTTCGCTTGTATATATATACAGAATAGTCAGAGCTCGTGTTATATAATATAATATTTAAGCAGGTCTTATGTTTGGAATCTAAATTAAATTTTCGGCCAAGTGCGCACTCGGATTTCTTCGGTCCCACAACACCATCCTCATTTCTCGTTTAGTTAATTATCATATTCATTTATAGTTAAAATTTTATCATTTTTTATTCGAGGTTATAATATACAATGGTTAAATATTTCAAATTAACAAAATCAAAGATACTTTCTAGGAAGCAATTTTGGAAATCTGTATTTAAGCCACATTAGACTATTTCATTGAAAATAATACCTAGTAATAGCAGAGTATTAAAGACAACTCAATTTTACTCTGATTTCATGAATTTAATCAAAATCGTTTGAGCGATTTTTGAAAAGATTATAAAACTGTGTAAAATAGAAAAGTGCCACGCGCAGGCACAGACACAAACACATACATACAGATGATTTTGCGAAACTTGGTTATTTGAACTCAGAGGATCTCAAAACATACATTTCTGTTGAAAACTCCGTTTCAAAAATGTCCATGATCGAATACTTTTCCTTGTAACCTTATATTGATCTAAATCGCACCACGGAACCGACTTCTGTATATTATTGTTATTCTAAGGGGACATCGTTCCAGAATAAAGTTTATTTTCTATTTCTATCTTTGTTTCTCGTGAAAGAAGCGATGATCGAAAAAAAATTAGGTTGGCCATGATCCTCTTGTACACCTCAGCAGCAATTTTATTTTCAGAATTCACTTCCACCCCCCAGTCACGTGAATTTTTTGACACGCTCGAAGATGAGACCACATATTTTAATGCTATGAGGACCAACCTCACTGTCGGCCCCGACATACATGTATTTTGATTAATTTCCAGCCCAACATTTTCACTTTCGGTTTTCAATATTGCAAATGATTCCTTTATTAACCTCAAATTCCTAGTAATTAAGCATATATCGTCTGCGTAAGCACATATCTGTACCATTGGGATAGGTACGCAACCAGGCGAATCCAGTTTTTTAAAAACGTTATTAAGTGCAATATTAAATAATATACTTACTATAGAGAAATATAAGTTCATTCTGTATAGTTTTATTTGTGATAAAGTAGGGAACATTGAGGATTTTATGTTGTAATTATACTAGAGGAATTTGGTGTATTGTGGAGCCCATATTATTATTTAACCTCAAATACGAATACAAAGCTTATCGACATTCAGTACTAAGGAAGCAAAAAAAGCTACGGTGACTTTGTTTCGAAAAAAAAAACTTTGTTACCATCTATAACAAGTAGTGGTTAGAAATTGAATCTATTGAATTTAAGCTCATTAATGGCCATTGCCGAAGAGAAAGCCGACAATGCCATTTCCAGGAAAATCAAAAACTGACTCTGGGAAATGAAGGAGTCGCCGGACAGAGACATCGTCCTCGCATGGGCACCCTCACATTGTGGCATATCTGGGAACGAAGCTGCAGACAGAGCTGCGAACCTGGCAAGAAGAAAAACAAATGAAACCACAATGATCAATTTAACGACCACTGCTTGAAATGCAAAAGAATCCTAAATGAAAAATGGCAATTCAAGTGGAACCAATCTACGAATAAATTGCTAGAAATTAAAAAAAAAATAGCAAACCGTGGAAGACCTCTTTCAGAAAGAACAGAAAAGAAGAAACAATTTTAACTCGGCTTAGAATCGGACATGCAGCCTTTACCCACGGCTACCTAATGAGAGGCCTGGAACCACCATTTTGTAAAACATGCAACACATCACTTACACTGAAACACATTGTAACAACTTGCAGACTATACTCTGACACCAGAACAAAACATAATATACCTTCCAACATATTTGAAGCACTTTCAGATGACGAAGAAAAGATACAAAAAGTATTTGAATTTATAAAAGACATTAAATTTGTACACCTAATTTGATTACATCTAAAGCCGCTAATGACCCGATTGGGTGTAGATGCGGAATGTAACAATAAATAAATAAATAAAATTGAATCTCACTGTTCCTTTTATTATATTTATTCAACTTTGGAATAAGGTATATGAGTTTGTGGGTTGTTACAGTGTAGGTGTATCGTTTATTAACTTATTCTATTATTATTTATTCGGTAGCTATTCACGGTACACACCGCTCCTTCCTTACCCGACAATCTCATTGCATTAGAGGGGAGAGAGAATAGAATATAAAGGCCCAGCTGGTCTCGACCGAGCTCGCTGAATAATTTAAAAACCTATTTCAGGATTGATTTTTTAAAGGATCAAATATATGAAGGTGTGAGGTGGGGCTAGGCGAAAAGCATTCCCGTACATTGCTTCTGTATAAACAATGAGACACTTCACAATGTAATCACTATTGTTTCATCCGTTAAGTTTAGAAAAAAATAATTGTGAATTCTAATTATGTTAAATTGTGGATAAATGGTTAACTGTCGTGAATAACGAAGAGAAGAATAGTTGGGGTGATCAGTCAAATAAGAAGGCAAAAATAAATGATAATATTTATTTTGACATTTGCCGACGTTTCGACCTGAAGTTCAGGCCATCATCAGGGCTAAGAAAAGAACAAGATAATAAGGTATGAGAAACATAAGTAGTGTAGGTAAAAAAAAAAAAAAAATTAAAATGCAGTTAATAATGACAATAGTAAGAACTAAGAGATAAATGATAATAACCGGTACAAAGTGTGAAATGATGAAGTAAACATAATCAAAAAAGTTGACATAAGTATTAAAATAGGAATCTTAGAATACAATGTAAAACAGAAAAATATTCTTATTCTCTTTCTTATTTCAGACTTCTCAGTTTCTTTCCTCTTTTCTTTATTATATTATACGTTGTCTGTACATCTTGATAGACTTTACAACATCTCAATTTTCTATCTAACTATTCTATTCACTATATCTTAATTTTACTATTTATTTCCATTTCTTATATAACTTCATATTTTTCTGTTTTACATTTTATTCTAAGATTCCTATTTTAATACTTATGTCACCTTTTTTGATTATGTTTACTTCATCATTCCACACTTTGTACCGGTTATTATCAACTATATTTTAATTTATTTATTTTTTTTACCTACACTTCTTATGTTTCTCATACCTTGCTATCTGGTTCTATTCTTAGCCCTAATGATGGCCTGAACTTCAGCCTGTGATGGGTTGTAATGGTATAGATTTTTTTATAAAATCTTCGCGGCTGTAGTAGTTTTCATAATTTCACATTATAACCATTTTCTTCAGTTTTTTGCTTTTCCTATTTTTTTGAATTTCAAAATTTTATCCATTTTCACGATTTTGTTAATTTTTGCTATTGAATTATTTTCGCAGTTTTACGCATTCTGATATCGCATTTTAGTTATGTTAGCATTCCAAGCAGACATTACAATTCTCAATATTAACCATTATCACAATTTATATATAAACGCACTTCAATTTGTTTTCGATATTCCTATCACATTTACAATTTTAATAATTTTTTAAATATTAACGCAAATCCATGCATTTTCTGGAATTTTTCTAAAATATTTATCCACTTAATTTCTATTATTTTAGTATCTTATTTTTCTGAATCATGAAAAGGTTCACTAGATACCAGCGTTACACTCATTGAACATTTCATTTCATTACTGAGGTTTTATTTCTGCCAGCACCCCACCTTCCTCACCCAAGCCATTTCTTCTCTATAACTATATATACAAACTTTATAAGTTATCAATTCTCTTTCAGGCTTTTGCAGGAAGATGTAACTTCATTAGAAGATGTCTACTGGTTAGAAGACTCCAGAGCCAGATTCCTTCTCGGGAAGGACTTCCCCACCTGGAGTACAGCTCGCCAGGCGCTACCAGTGTCCAAGGAAGACCTGTCCAGTCTGAAGGCCGAATTATGGAGTGCCGTTGTCAAGAGCAGTCACCATCAGGATGCCTGGACTTTTGGTAAACCAATATATTTAAATAGTTCATAATTAATTTCAAGGTGTAATAGTATGTAGAAAGGTATGAGGTGACACTAAAGCACCAAGATTCGAACACATCTTCAGACAGAAGATTTAGTTTCTTATGTAACAGCTGAGGATATATCATGAGTTACCTTTCATTGGGTTGGATAATAAGTCCAAAGTCCTTCAAACCATAGTCAATACCCCGTTCTATGTAACCAACAAAATCCAACACCAAGACTTTAATATCCCAATTGTCTTAAATCCCATTCACCTCATTCGCGACCGATTTTAGCCCCTCTGCTGTGTTTAAACTCCTTACGTTCCACGTACCAATATTTAAATCACTATATTTCAACTTGCGCCATGAATCCCCTAAAGCAGTCCCCACCCGGAGACCCGAACGGGGGACTAGTTTACTTCCGGATAATGAGTGTTTTACCTTAGGAAGATCCATGACTGTGGTGTTTGGTGAACTAAAGATATGTGAGTAGGGCGTTCAATCCTACGTCACACCCTCCAGCAAGTCTGGTGGGCCCCTACCTCCAGCAAGTCTGGAGGTCCCCTCTCATTGTTGGTCAGCGAGTCCATTGGACTTAGCCGGGAGGAACTTCCAAGGAATTTCCACCGACCATCCCCACCATCCGCCACCCGTGGGACGCTCCCCATACGCGGTAATGAGCCCGCGCGAGTAAAGTTGTTGGGCTTAGTAACGAGAGAATTCCTAAAAGGTTAATATGTGCGGTGCCGAATGGTAAGCGTCCGAGGGATAGACTGAAGCGAAGGTGGGAAGATTGCATTAAAGCCGATCTGAAGGGACTGGGTCTGGACGGCGAACGGTGGAGGGAGGTGTGTAATAAGCGATTGGTGGTGTCGGCATCGAACCTTCGGGTTCGCTAAGCCTGTTATTATTATTATTATTGTCTTAAATCTGATTCCAGATAAATTCTTCAGATTTCACCAGAATCTTACATATCGTCCGAATTCCCTACACAATCCTTATCTAGCTAAATTCATCCTTACATTCCTTCTCGAAGGTTCCCTTCTCGACCTTTCGTAAATATGTATATTAGAGTTCCAGCAATGGCCAGATTCTTCACTGTAGACATGTGTATAAATACTGGGTTGCAATGCGGTAAATAATGCAGGATTTTGAGTTTTCTTTAAAATGCCGCTCTATATTTATTTATTTTTTATTTCTAATTTATTTTTGCTGGGAACTTTTACATTATATCTGAATATAAACCTGAATTGAAAGTTGGAGAGAACAATAATCCATCCTTTGCTGGTAGAACCTCTCGAGAGCCCTCGAAGAATGGTGTCAGAATCGGAGAATCAAAATCAATACAGAAGAATCTGCAGTAAATCACCTTCAACCTTTAATATAAAATCCTTATACCTCGGCCCACCAATCCTTTCTTTATCCTGTCAGGATTTATTACTTATTGAAACAAAACTGTGTTATCTTAAATTCCATCTTGAGGATAGATTAATTAGGAATTTATTTAACAAGAGGCTTCCCTGTTAATGAAAATAATTCAATATCCATTCGGCAAACATGGACAATAAATCAGTTTACAATACATTATAATTTGAATAATTATTTTTACTTGTGCCAAAACTTCACAGCTCTCAGCATAGACGAAGACCTAGGAAGGGACGATGGACTTAAGTCTTTTGAGTTTATATTATGTATTAAATTTATGAATGATAATTAACATAATTATTGTAAAACGAACAATATAATACTATATAAAAATATATTTATATAAATCTTTTTTTATTTTTTATTTACGTACGGATATGTTAACAAAGCAATTGAATATATTACATATTTTTATTTTTATTTAATGTTTGAGGCAGTGAGATGATCTCTCCATTTTACGATACTTCAAATTTACCTGTTATTTTTCATTATTTATATTTTATTTGAACACTACCGTGCCATTGAGAGAATAAGGATTATGCAGAACTGAGTTGTTACACTTAATTGCATAACTAACTGCCTGATCCTTCAATGAAATCAATTTTCATATTGTGATCACCTGTTCATGGCATCTTATTCCGCTCCTCTTCGTTCCAGCGGCCTCTCTGAAGCCGGTTCTATTCTTGTAAAGTTGAAGTGTGCGGGCCCTACTGCTTCTTTCCACCCGTACGCAAATTCTTTTAGAAAGGGTAGTTTTCATTCTGTAACAAACTGAGGGAGATAGCTCTCTGTGAAAACATAGAGACTGGTCTCCCTCAGCAATTTGGAGCTTAGCGACTCGAAGGCAGTTCATGATAATATGATCAGCAGTCTCCGGGGTCCTACAGTTAGGCCATTGGGGATCGATGTAGTTTCCAAAGCTAAACTATGGAGCTAGACTAGAAAGCACGAGTGCCCACTTGACATCCATACTTGACGGTGGGAAAGTACTTTCTCAGGATAGCCCACTTTGGGATAGCCACCCACCGTTGATTCATTCCGCCCTCAAATTGTGTAGTTTTCTATTTTCTGGGGTTTTCATCTATTCTCTCTTTGAGATTTTCCGGTAGATATATTTTTTCTCTTTTTTTGAGAGGGGGGAGAGGGAGGTTTCCCCTTCCTAGCCTTTAAAGTGAAAAACAGGGTTTCCCCGGCACAGAGGGTGAGGGTAGGGATTTAAAAGACTCCTCCGACACCGGGACGCGTACTCATGACTGTTTTTTATCAATTTGTTCACATATCAGGTTGCCCACCATTTTCCCAGTAGGCTTGCTGAGCTTTCTTTCTTACATGTGTACTTGAACATATCTTCTCGCAGCATGAGTTCAAAAGGCACCCCTCTTGCTAATAACTGCTCCACCTCATGAGACACCTGTTCGCTCAGGTGAATCGCAGCAGATCCGTTCGCTGGATCGTCACCAACTTGTTCTTCTGTCGGTGCGACAGATTCCGATTCCACGTAGAGGACGCATAACTCAGAATATCTACTTATATTGCATTACATTATGTTATACAAATACTAACACTGACTGTCCTATCCAATCATCTTCCTCGCCAACTTACCTGTTCCCTGACTATCGCTGTACCCTTTTGACATGCCCCTATGTTCAGGCGGTATGCTGGTGGTGTCTGTGAGCGTTGCCGGCCTGGTGACCCTGGCCGCTATGACCCAGCCCTCTCTAGCTCCCGAAGCCAAGCACTCCCTGCTCCAGTACGTCACCGGGAAGTACCTCCACACCGGGAACACGGCCGTGCGCTTCCACTGGCAAGATCCCCAGCAAGTCGGCCAGGCCACCTCCTTCACCATCATGGTAAGTGTTAAGTTTGTGAATAAAAGGTCTATAGTTCAAAAATTACTTATTAACATCCAACTTTTAGTTGTATAATAGTTATTTCCCAAGCTTATTAAATACTGTGACGTACCCAATTTTCGGAGCCCAATTTTTTATGTTTATGTAGTTCTACCAAAGAAACGGACAGCCATATCCCATCTGCGATACAGATCGGCTCACCATAGAAGTGAGTGAATTCGAAGGGCACAGGAGAGTCGCAACCCTGATAGAACTCGGTGGTACAGAACCAAACTCTGCCAACACTGCTGTGGTCAAGTTCACAGTGAGGCAGGCCGGCCAATACAAGATATCCATCCTCATTGGAAACACTCCTATAAATGGTAGTCCGTTCTTTAAAACATTTTTGCCAGGTAATTATATTATTATAATCTTCTAATTAAATGTTGCTGCATGTTAGAATATATTAAGAGAGATATCTAAAACTTAAAAGTGCTTTTATTTGTTTACTTTTTTTAAAATGATGGATGTACATGATTAATGAGAGTGAAAACTATAAGAAAATCTCAAAAACAAAACTATAAGTCTGAATTGGGTGAATGTTGAATTGGCAAACTGGAGCACAAGTAGGGAATGCACACAAAGCAATCTTATGAGACTTATTCCCCAGGGGTGCCCAGAATGGGGTTTCATGACTCAAGTAACACCGTCGAAATTTTTGAAGGGGGCACATTTCGAAGTGAAAATTTTCAAACCAGAGGACAAGAGGAAAGTATAAAACAGACTGCTGAAAGTGTAATTGTATATGATCTATGAGTTTTAAAATTGTCCTTCAGCTTGCTCTGTTATTAAGAAGAGAACAGTAATAAAATATATTGGAAGCAGGGGGAGGTTCATGCGCCATCAACCTTGGTGGAATGGGCCCCCCTGGTACTCCCTTAGTTTGCACGACCTTATCTTCTTCTGGCACAGATCAGAGATCACTTCTCCAGCAGTGCAGGTTGTGTCCAGAATAAAAAATAGTTGAATAATGAAGGAATTTAGTTGATTTTCTCAATCTGAAATTAACATTTTATATTTAGTTTTACTTCTATAAAGTAGTAGTATATTGTAACATCTCTCTTATATTTGACAAATAATAATAATATAACCTCAGAAGATCACTTTATACAGTTAGGATACTTCCAAAAGAAACAAGAGGTTGTTTAATAATAAACAAAATTATAAGAGAATTAATATATTTATTTATCTCAGGTGTGGGTTACTGACAATCAGATCAACTCAGACATACTAAAATTAACTATACTAAACATTGTTTGATTTAAAATAAGTATGGATTGGCAAGCTAACGTTTTTTATATAAACACCGTTTCTTCCTTTGTTGCACTAAATTCATTTGTCTTCAAATACTTTCCAATGTTCTGCCAAACAGAACTTCCAAAATGGTGACACTATTACTGCTTTTCACTCACTGGAGCCAGGAGTCTTTCTCCTTTCCTCTCTTCACTACAGTCACACAACTACTTGCCAAAACAAAAACATTTGTCCCTCTACTCTTTGGGATTTTCCTTCTAAGAAACATTATAGGGTAACCATTTTCTTTTCCCTGCACTAGTAGAACTAGATTAGCTTGCCTTTTAATTGTTCAACATTAATTTATTAAATCATTTTTACCCACTTCCAATAAAGGTGTATATTACAATATTTATTTTATATAACTAAAAGAATCAACTTTCTTATGTGCAAAAATGGAATAATTAACCTTGGTAAAAGCTATACTAGAAGTTTTTAAACAATACTAGTATCACTACGCTTATGTGCTTAAAGTATTATAGCTTAAACATAAATACATATGTGATGTTATCATAAGTTTAAAGCTATGCAGAGGTGCCCATCCTCCCCAAGGTCGATGGCACATAAACCTCCCAAGATATTTTAGTGCTCCTATTTTCTTAAATACAGTTCAAGTATAGGAAAATTTGAAAATTATACTATAAACAATTACACTAAATGTGGTCTGTTCGAGGTTTCCCCCTCGCCCCCTGGAATGAAACTTTTCATTCCGAAAATTCATAACCTTGTTGAAATGTGTTCCCCCTCCCTAAAATACTCAAAACCTTGTCAAAATATGTCCCTCTCAAAGATTTTGATGGCACAACTTTCGCCATCAAACCCCCTTCTGGGCACATCTGAAAATATGTTCACAAAATGCCTGAAAGACTGGTATAATACCTGAGATACAAGATAATACACATAATAAGTAAATTATCTTGCCTGATAAATATTAGATTTGTTAGAATTAAACTAAACAAAATAAAATGAGGTAATTTCCAGCTTCAATGCTGTTAGGACACTGAACCATGTCTAAATGGCATGTAAAAGAATTGTGGAGGAGCTAATTTGAACTTGGATATAAATATTGACACAAGAATAATAATTCCTTCTTATCTATATTTTTTTTCTTATAAGGAGACAAAAAGAAACTTCCAGTAAAATGTATTCTATAATAAAATTACTATAACAGTCAAACACAATAATAGAAAATCCTTAAAATGTAATCCAGTTATTGTACAAGGAGAAAAAGAAAGAACATTATAAATATAACAAAATGAGATTCAAAGAGGATTGAAAAAAAAAAAAAGTTTTATTATTGGTAAAAACAATATTATAAAAACAAACCTTATCCAGAAATCAATAATTTATAGAAGTGTTTTCACAGCTATCGGGTATCGCAACTTTAAAGTAAAAACATTTTTATGAAAATGGTATTCCTATGTTAGGTTTTTGAAGCTATTATCTTATCTGTTGTCCGAGCTCTAAAATACACACATCCCTCGACTGGTTTTTGGGTATAAGTTTTGATTTTAAAATACTTTTACAAAGTTTTTAGGTATACTCTACCTTTACTTTTTATTTTTAAATATTTCTCATTGTTATTTACATCTTTACTTATTCTTTCATCTTTTTAATTCTTACCTCTATTGAACAGTAATTTTTCTCTATTTTGCCTATTACAATACTTAAGCTGTTGAAAATAGATGTCTCATAGTTATAGTCTTTGGTTTAGATTGGATGTATAATAATTATGTTATTACTATTATCTTTAAATCTATTTCAGGACCTCCGGATCCAATAAAAACCACTTTTGTCCGTCCATCGTCAACAGTTATTTGCACAGTGGGTATCGCCCATAGCCTGGCGATGGAACCCAGAGACGAATTCAACAATCTCTGTCGGTTTCCAGAATCAGAAGATCCAACTAGTGGCTATTCTGTTTGTATCAAACAGGTATTGCCAATTGTTCTTATCACAAATAATTTGTATCACATATTGTAAACTTGTTTTTATGATGAATTTAAAAATTAAATTATTTCTTTATTGAGTATTATAACAATCTGTCTCTTGGACTTGGGCATAGTGAGATAGGATGACATTCAAACTATATGTACAAAAAAAATAAAATAAATAGAACAAAATAATAATCAAAAATATATAAAATTGATAATCAAAAATATATACAATAGATGATGAATTAAGTTGATAAAATATATTTTCTACAGTTCAATAAAAATATCCTTCAACAAAAATTATAAACCATTAACATGAAAATATAATCATCAGTAGAACAGGACTGAAACAAGAAGAGACAATATTTACAAAGATGACACAAGTTTAATCTGTTGAAGATCATCGGAAGATTCCTTCAAAGCATAAAGTTGTCCTTCAAAGCATTAGATGTAGAGATGAAGATTGGCTTACATATTAATGAGAAGAAGACAAACCTAGATAGGTAGAAAACAGCAGACTCAGAGGTAGAGTCACCAATACCTTGACACTATTATTAGTGATAAAATGATGAAGAAGAAGAGGGAAGAAGAAGAATCACAGCAGGGAATAGAACTTATTTCTCTACATCAAGATTGGTCAAGAGTAGACTTTTAAGCCATAAAACCAAGTGTAGACTTTATAAGACCAGTAGTTGCATAAGGTGATGAAACATGAATCTTAAAAATTAATTGCATCAACATGCTGGACAGATTTGAAACAGTTATATTGAGGAAGAAATCTCAGTGAAATGATCATTGATGACAAAGGAAAAACACTAAACTATTTCAACTCTGTAAGAAAATTAATATCTTTTTATCACTCTACTTATATCAAAATATATGTGTTAAGTGGCTTGGCCATGCTATGAGCATGAGTGATGATATATTGGCAAATAGGGTATACATTAATGTTTGAAGATTTCTGTCACCCATGCAGAAGATAGAGTGAGATGGTTGCTAACTGTCTGGAGATGGTGCCTGTTGTAGAAAGAAAGAAAGTAAATTTTATTCTGGAACATTTAGACCCCCCAGAATAACTATAATGAACAAAGAAATGACAATTGTCTGGAGATTATGAATAATTGAATGACAGTTAAAAATAAATTAATTTATAAAGTTTTCTAACCTTAATATTAAAAATAAAGACACTGTAATAGACATATGAGCATGAAGTAGACATATGAATTTAAAGATGAATACATATGGTTCACGTATTTGTACAAATAAGCAATATGTCACATACATAGATATCTGCAAGATATAAGTATATTGTAGCTGACATTTCTAAAGTACAAAATAACTTTATTTTACATATGTTTGGAATATTTATTACTGAGATGGAAAAATAAATTGTGTTTAAATGAGGTCAAGAATGAGGATTTCAGTATAGATGTTGGTAGGGAATTCCAAAACGAGGTAGCACGTATGACGAAGGATTTTTAAAGGGAACAGTTCTATGAGAAGGAATAAACAAATTTGAGGATTGGAATCTCATGTTGAACGAATGAACAGCAGAGGAATAAGGAGTAAAGAAATCAAGAAGGTAAGAAGGTTTTTTAGTTGTAAAGGTTCGGAAAAGGAATACACCTACGAAATATTGCCGTTGGAAAACTGGATAGAGCCATTTCATCTTGGCAAAATGACAACTGGAGACGTTGGAGCACCTGGGGACTCCAAATATAAATCTAATGAAACAATTCATTACCCTGATTAATCTGATCTCAAGCCCACCAGACAGTCCACTATATACAAGGCAGCCATAATCGAAGTGAGGGAAAATCAGAGAGGAAACTAGGAGCTGACGGATTTTAAGGGAACTCTCTGGACGGAATCTCATCAACTGTTTCAGGGTAGCAATGGACTTTCAGATAATTTGGGAAATGGGATTATTCAAGAACAGATATTGATCAAACATTACCACAAGGTTTCTTATGAAAATGTGGAAATGTATGGGTATCCCATTGAGCTAGAGTAGAGGATGATAAGAAATGAGGTTAATCAGATGCTTGGATCCAATGAGAATGGCTTTGGTTTTCTCAACATTCAATTTTAAATCATTGTTTGCTGCCTAGGTATTAATACTATCGATAGGTTTAGAGATCGTCCACATATAAATGATATGAGTGATGGATGGAATCTGGAAGGTCATTAATATAAATGGAGAAAACAGTTGGGGAGAGCGAAGATCCCTGAGGAGCACCACGAGTTAGTAAGAGAGGGGAGGAAGGATTTTTATTGGGTTGTACTGCTAGGAGAATAATATAAAAATTAGTTTAAAAAAATAGATGGAGATGGAGATCCTAGGTTTCATTAACTTAACTCAATTCTGAAAAGTATAAGGAGGAAGTTAACAGAGAAGAGGTTTTAAAAAAATATTGTGGATTATTAATAGGATTAAGGGAACTTGATATGAATAGAGTCAAACTTACTTAAGCGACAACGTACTCAAACTTATTGGCTTAAATCATGATGAGACAGATATTTCCTAATTCTTTAGGAAGAATGTCTTAAGATGAAAATGGAAGTTCATAAAAAGAGAGTGATGAAAAAAGATACCAAATTCACTATTCAATCCGCCTTCCAACTACAGCCCAATCACAATTACCTCCAATTAATCCACAATTTCTTACTCCTTGGAGTACTGAACATTGCAATCAAACTATTGATGTTTATTTTAAGTTTGATAATCAGCAAAGAAAGTACTGACAGAGAATATTTATTGATAAGATATGTTTTTATCTGCACATGGTTTTGTACATGAATTACTTGGAGACGAAGGGTCTAGGAAGGATATTATCAAATGAATTAAATGAAGTAATCTACCAAAATAATAACTATTTGATAAAAGAGGATTATAAAATAGAAATTATGAAAAAATGCACCACTTTGAAATTTTATGTTAATTCATAAAGTATTCTCTATATTTTTAAAATAAGTTTACGTACTTAATGAATCAAATATATATTTGTATTTGATATTGTTGTGTTTAATTCCAGATTGGAGAGCAAGTTGGTGATGCAATCGAATCTGCTTGGAGCTTGGAGTACGACCACACATCAGGCAGAATCATGTTAGGTTTAGTAATGGCGAAAGAAGGTTGCTATAAAGTTCAAATATCTTATTCTGGGATGACCCTTTGTAATGGTCTATTTGACTGCGTAGCTCTCAGTAGTACGTATATATATTATTTACACCAGGAGTCTCCAAATAATGGTCTGACACATGCAAGTACTTCCAATCCAGAATTACTTTAACACAGTTTATTTATTATTTGGCACTATGGTCCTATAAGAACCAAGGCCTCTCTTGTTATTCTTCTCCACTCTTCTCTATCTCCGGATTCCCATACTTTTCCGAATGTCCTCCACCTCGTCCAGCCATCTCAGAGGTGGCCTTCCTCTGCTATGTCTTCCACCAGGTTGATCATCCAGCAGGTGTTTGGGAATGGAATCCCTGGACATAAGTGCTACATTGCCATCTGATTTGGTTACTTCTTACAATTGAGATCAAATCTGATATTGCATAGATCTCGTGCAGCTCTTTCTTTATTGGTGCTGATTCTCCACTGCTCATTCTCACACCCCGGACTGTAGATCCTGTGGAGAACTCTTCTCTCACGTGCGAGTAGCCTCCTTTCTGAGGCCTTAGAGATTACCCAAGTCTCAGTACCATAGGTGACAACGGGTCTTATGAATTTCTTGTACAGTGTGATTTTTGTCCTGTGAGGGAGTTATAATTTTGTAATTTTTCATGGGAAAACAGCATCTATTCCTGTCATCCATTCTTACTTTCAGTTCTTCTGTCATATCATTACTTTCTGTAATTAGAACACCTAAATACTTAAAGGTTTCTACCGCTTTCAGGGTGTGATTACCTAATGTGACACATTCCTCTGTTCCACTTGGCGTTCAAGAAGCTTGCATGTAAACAGTCTTCTTCTCATTTATTTGAAGCCCTAGTTCTTCAGCTGCTGTTTCAAATTCTTTGAGTGCCCCTCCTAATGCCATTTTCTTTTTTGCCGTTATTACGACATCATCAGCATAAGCTAGATGCTGTGTCATCCTATTATAAATAGTGCCACTCTAACAAAAGGTTACTATAATTTTTATTCTATGAGCTGCTTCTCTTAGAAAACTCATTTCACAACTGAAATGTCATTTATAGAACAAGATTTTTTTTTATCATAACTCCTGGCCCATGGGACTAACTGGTCTGCAGGCCAAAACGTTTGGAGACTTCTGATTTAGTAAGACTAAGTTTTATGTAAATATTACATGTTTATTTATTTAATTTGTTTCCTCTTTAATACATCCAAAACAGATATTATTGATTTAAGTATCATCTTGGTATTTACTTATTTCTTGTTCTTCCACTACTATACTGCAGTATGAGTGTTTGTTTTATAGTGTCTATGAATCAATATAAAGTATACAGTTGATTATCCATCATAGAAATATTAATTAAGATTTCTAAATATTGTACCCCTTATGGTAGCTGCTCTAGCATGAACTATAAATTATTATTTTAAATAGGCAATTAAATTTTATAGTAAAGTTTCAATTTTAAATAATAAATAAAACAAAAAAATCTATGATTCAAAATTTCTTGAAATATAAGATTTTTATATATATAACTATATCTGAAAAACTAAGCTTCATGATTTTTAAACCGTATTACTAATTCTTCATTTCAATTGCTGCTCAGCTACTGTGAAGATACTTAGTGAACCCATTTTGAACCCTTTTCTCTTTTCTATAGCCAATGATGATATATCTCACTCAACTACAAAGTTTATATTATTATTTAAAATATTCCAGCTACAGATGCAGCTATAGTACAGAAGAATGTTCGCAATCACAATACCTGGTATGAAGCAAGGCTTCTGAGTTTTCAAGGAGAAAAATTCCTCAAGCCACGGAAAGTATTGGTATATATTTCTCCTAAGCAGCTTACGATAAAAGAATTTGTTTTGAAGTTTATCCCAAAGAGATTGATAACTTTTCGTTTATGTCCGTCAACAAAGGTATATTTATTTATTGGAAAATAGTAATTTAATTTTAATGGGTTGTATATTATTTATTATTATTATTTTTTTTTTTACAGTTTCATTTCTTAAGTGAAAACAATCAAATATCGTTCCCATCTTTCATTATCGATGATGGATGTCAACCGAAAGTTGAACTGATGTCACGGGAGAGAAATGTTATTGCTGCAACCTTCACACATTTTCTTTTAAAAAATATTGGTAATAAATTAGTATATTTTTATTTCTCTCTCATTATATAGACTTATTAAGATTTCGTTAACATGCTATTGACTTTATAATGTATCGTTTAATAATTATTAACTATTAGATACTTTAGGATGAAACAAAATTGTCAGGAATTTCAGCCGTTATTTTTATTGGGTTAGCCAAACCCGAAAGGTTTAAATTCCTGACAATTTTGTTTCGTCCTTATAATTGATATTTCCCCATCTCTATTAGATACTTTAATTTAGTAAACTTCTTTTAAAATAGTATTTTTAATAATCTTTGGAATCCATTTACTGAAATAAAATTACCTTGTATTTATATATATATATATATATATATATATATATATATGATTAAAAAAAATTGAATAATATGAAAAATAAATTCTATGGAGAAAAAGTAATAAGGATAGGAAGGGAGGAAAAACATGGAGAATGAATACTTCGACTAAAGGGAGAAAAGTTGGAACAAGTCAGAGACTTCAGATACTTGGGGACTCACATCGATGAAAAAGGCTGGATAGGCGGGGAAATCAGGGAAAGAATAAAGTTGGCTGGAAAATGCTTGCATTCAATCAAGGCTGGTTTCTTGAGAAAGAAGAAATTTTCTAAAAAGATCAAAAAAGTGGCGTATAAGAGAACATCCATGCCCCTACTGACCTACACCAGTGAGTCCTGGACTCTGACATCAAGACTTAAAGGACAAATGCAAGCAATGGAGATAAGGTACAAGACAATAATAGAAGGAAAGACAAGAAGATATAGGGTGAGAAATACGACAATAGAAGTAACTTGGAAATTTATGTTAAACAAAAAAATAATAAGTTGGTTTTGAATAATTACAGAACATTACCGTTCACATAACAAATAACAGTTCATTCAACATAATATTCAAAGGTTTCTTTAATAAAATAAGTGTTCATACTGTATTTTAGGTAAGAAGTTTTATTAAAGTTTGTTTTATCTCCCCAATGCTACTTCAAATGGACGCCTTACTCCTGGAAATTGAAAGAAGATCATTATATTTGCCTACCCCTAAACTACACCTTAATTATATCCTGAAAATTCTCAATTCGCCAGACCAAAAGTTAACAAAGCAGTTAACACAGAACATTACCACCAAAGGTCAGAGATCTCCGTGAGGTCTATACAGGAATTGGAATAGTGTTTCAGGACTTTTTGGACACACCTGATACACGAAGAAAGAATACAGTGGATGGTATTGTATCAGCTGTAGAAATGTCAGAAAAAAAAAATTATTACAGGAAAGATTAGCGAAGGCACAATCACTCATGGTATAAAACTCTAAAATTTGAGGCAAACGAGCTTTCCTACATATGTGATGAAAACAGCTTGCACATGATGAGTACAGTGATGAAGGCGAAAACAGAAATGTTAAGTCTGAACAGGAAATCCTGGAGCCTCGATGATAATGCCAACTGTTCCTTGTGCAACCTCAGGGAATCAGAAGATATTTTTTATTTTCTCGATATTTGCCCTATTCTCAAAGAATTTAGAAAGAATACATTTGGGAAGAACATATTGTCTGAGTGTGAAGATACACAGCTTTGTTAAATGGAAAGAACTATCATTCACTTTAGAATTATGTTAAAAGGGCTATAATATTTAAATATGATTAATTATAGATTTGAAGCACTAACCTTTTTGCTTTTTTACTGATTTTTATATTATTATCATATTATATTATAGTTTTTTACATTTCTTATTATATTGTCATTTCCTTAAAAAACAAAACAAAGATGGATACCAAATGCAATTGTAATTTAATCTGTCACTCAAGCTGATTTGTTTTCCATAGCTTTTTTTGTAAATTTATTTCTGTATTCAAATTTATATTTCTTTGTAAATGTTTTTTTTTTTTTTTTTTTTTAATAACTGGAAGTTATTATTGCCAAACAGCTAAAATAAATTGACAACTTCTCAGAAAAAAAGAAAATTTACTTCATTCATTCATACTGTATTTTAGGTGGTTCGGAAACATTCAAAGATAAACAAGAGTTTTTTTATCATGAAGTTAGAAGGTTTCATCACAAGCATTTTCATGAAAAGCTATCAATGAAAGTAAACAGAGAAAAATTACTCGAATCAGTAAGTATAAAATGAAATACAGTGATTTTAACTGTTTAACCTTTTACAAATATATGTAATTATGTTTTAGTCTATAAAAGCGACAAAAGGATTTTCTGTGAGTGATTGGTGTCGGAACTTTGAGATAACATTTCAAGGAGAGCAAGGTAAACTGAATGTTTATTTAATAAAAATCTACTGTCAAAGTTTCAAGTTAATCCAGTAAAAGATTCAATAACAATTATTTTAGGTGTTGATTGGGGCGGTCTAAGAAGAGAGTGGTTTCAACTAATTTGTGCAGCTTTGTTTGATTCTAAAAATTTATTATTTAAAGGATTTTCTGATAATCAGCAGGTATTATATCAATTATTAAAGAAATGTTTATTTACAATTTTTGATCTTAAATATAAACAAAATGTATGTACCTACATTAAACTAAAAGTGCATTTAAAATTAAAACGTTACCCCAATATACAATTTCTTATAAAATTAAATCTATGCACTTGGATAATATTTTTGGTAACCTATATCAAGTCTGAAGTGGCCTTTCATCCCAAAAAGATTTAAAACCTACAGTCTGGCCAGATCCTATTTACGAACCTTCAGTGTACCATTTATATTAGTGATATTCGGATCCAGGGATGGCCACCCATGCTATTAACTATAAATCTAATTTAGAAATAAATGATAACATAAAATAAATATTTAAATACATATCTATGATTATGTAATAAAGAAAATATGGTTCAAGTACTTAATTTTATGCTATTAAAATCAACATTTAGTCCTCAAAGTGCAAAATATGCACTTTAGGATCTCTGATTATCATCATCATTCATAAATAAAACCATCTATAATCTTTTAGGCTTTGGTTCACCCTAACCAGAAACGACCACCACAATTAAAATTGAAATATTACGAGTTCGCTGGAAGAGTTGTTGGAAAATGCCTGTACGAATCGGCTTTGGGAGGCGGCTATAGACAACTGGTAAGGGCCAGGTTTACACGATCTTTTTTGGCTCAGCTGATTGGTTTGAGGGTACATTATAAGGTATGTAATTTATAATAATTATCATTAGATTAAAATTTAAATATCCATTTTTTATTTAGAGGAGCTTAGAAAATGTTAAGATTAAAAAAAAAAAAACTTGTATCACTACAACGAATGAAGGGTCCTGAGTTCAGTACTATATAGGGAAAGCACTGTTCCTTGGTCAACGGTTGTGCAAGGATGTGATTTGACTGAGATCACGCTTATCTGCCAGGTTTTCTTCCTTTATTAATTATGTAATTAAGGTTACCCACGGCTAATGAAACAGAATAAATAATTTATCTGCTATGAGCCGAGATTTGAATCTGGGACCTTGAGGATTAGAAGCTCAGTCCCCTACCACTGTGCTACCCCACTTCCGTTAAGATTATTATAGACCATTTATTTTTATTATTCTTAGTTGGCAGTCAAATCAAACTTATTTTGTAGAAAGATTAATAGATTAATCGAATATTTAAGGTTTCTTGAAATTACATTTTAATATATCTTTAAATATTATTATTATATTATATTTTATTTCAGGTAAACATATGCTTCTGCTTTGTTAATAAACTTTTATATATTTTTTTTTAGTATTTTGAGCAAGATGATCCTGACTTATATCTTACAAAGGTAAAGTATATTCTTGAACACGATGTAGAAGATATGGATCTATTTTTTGTAGAAGAGGAATATGACCAGACCGGACAACTTAACAGGGTAAGAAATTAGGGCTACAAAAATGAGTTAGTTTTTGAAAAATGTATTGTTAAAGAAGTAAACTTAATCCTTCTAAAAATAAGAAGCTTGAAATAAAGATGTGGAGCTTTTAAGGAAAAGCTACTCAAGAATCGGAAACTAGCCCAAAAAATATTTTAATAAATACTTCAAAATGTTAGAGCAGCTATATAGATGAAATTGACTCTTCACCTAATTCATCAAATGATGAAAATTAAATTTTCCTTATGTAATTTTTTATTTATTAAGTTATAACTCATTCATTCATATGTGGCACGACATCCCGTTACCGAGACTGGGCCTCCGCCAGTTGGCTCTGTCTTCTGCTGCAGCTCTCCAGTTCCGCACACCAAGCAGGGTTCTCGCATCATAGGCCACGTTGTCCAACCATCTCGTCCTCGGCCTTCCTACCCGTCTTACGAAGTGCAGCTCCTCCATCATTATTTTCTTTGGTATTTCAACGGTGCTCATTCTGGCCACATGCCCTGCCCACCTTAGTCTGGCCAGTTTAATATATGTGACTACGTTGATGTCTGTATAAAGAGAACTGAGCTCCCTATTTTTTCTTTTCCTCCAGACATCACCCTCCTTTACTGGACCATAAATCCTTCTGAGGACTCCTCGCTCAAACACACCCAGCTTCATGTCATCGTTTTTAGTCATCGTCCAAGCATCTGAGCCATATGTCAAAACAGGCCGAATAAGAGTCTTGTATATGATCAGCTTGGTCTTCTTTGAGAGGTACCTACTTGTTAAGTGTCGGCCAAGTCCAAAGACACATCTATTGGCAGCCGTGATCCTTCTCTGTATTTCTTGAGCCATGTCATTTTTGCTATTAATTTCAGACCCAAGGTATATAAAACTTTTCACTGTCTCAAACTTAAAAGAACCTACCTCAAATGGAGAGTTTAGATCCACCTCACCACCAACTCTCATATACTTAGTTTTCCTCTCGTTGACTTCTAGGCCAAGTGGTCTTGCAGCTGCTTCAAGGCTTATAAACACTTCTCTGAGAGCCCGTTCAGACCTACCTATTATGTCAATATCATCAGCAAAACCAAGAAGCTGTGTCAGGCGATTGAAGATTATATCGTTGGTCTGAATACCGGAGTCTCTTACAGCTTTCTCCTCTGCCATGTTGAACAATAGACAGGCGAGGGCATCCCCTTGTCGAACCCCACTGCTCACTTTAAACTCTTCGGAGGCATCAGAACCGACGGGTATTCTACATCTCGAGCTGTCCATGGTCATCTTGATTAGGCGTACGAGCTTCTGAGGGATGCTTAGCTCCTCCAAGGCACAGTATAGTTGTGTTCTATCAACGCTGTCGTATGCTGCTTTAAAGTCCAGGAATAAATGGTGGGTGACTACCTTACGCTCCATAGTCTTTTCTAGGATCATCCTCAGAGAGAACAGTTGATCAGTGGTTGAGCGTCCTCTTCGAAATCCAGCCTGATATTTCCCCAGTTCCTTTTCAGAATACGGGAGGATCCTCTCAAAAAGAATGTTAGAGAGCAGCTTATAAGCACACGAAAGGAGTGAGATTCCTTGATAGCGTTTGATCTCCTTTCTTATGTATTGTGCAGATAATGGCTGTTGCCCATTCAGTAGGCATAGCTTCCTCTCCCAGATGGTCAGCATTGAATCAGGCAGAGCTTTCTTGAGTTCTTCACCTCCACATTTCAACAGCTCTGACTGGATTCCGTCCGAGCCTGGCGCCTTTCCATTTTTCAATTTCCTTAGGGCGTTTTCCATTTCTTCCTCATCCGGGGGTTCAATTTATAACTTATTAAAGTTTCCATATTGAAAGAATCTTTAACATAAAGAAAACTAGAACTTCCCATATGGACCAGGATCCTATTTTTCAATCTTAACATTATTCCTTCCGTGCTCTAGATATTCTGCCATTATTATAATTCAGAAATGCAAAGCTATAAATATGACTTTAAACTTCCTTCTCGGTTTGTATATTGTATAATTCACCATAATTTATATTTCAGCTTGTGGAGTTGGTACCAAATGGAAGTAAAATACGAGTTCATAACACCTCTAAACATCAATATCTTGATGCTTTAGCTCAATACAGGCTTGCGACAAGTTTGAAAGATGAAATTGAAGCTTTCTTAAGAGGTCTTAACGATTTAATACCCGACAATCTTCTTAGTATATTTGATGAAAATGAGTTGGAGGTAAGAATTAATATTGGTATTCTTAAGTTACGCATATATTTTCTATTCAATGATTTATTTACTTGTTTATAAATACTAAAATATAATTACTCTTAAATTTAATTATAACAGCTGTTGATGTGCGGTATGGGTGAATACAGCGTTACAGACTTCAGATCTCATCATATTATAAATGGCTCTTCTCCCGAATTTTCTCGAATCCTAGAGTGGTTCTGGGCTGCCGTCTGCAATTTTACTCATGAAGAAATGGCACGGTTACTTCAGTTCACGACTGGAAGCTCTCAGCTACCACCGGGAGGGTTCAAAGAACTTAGCCCTAGGTTTCAACTTACTCCTGCACCGACGTTTGGAAATTTACCTACAGCACATACTTGGTAAGTTTTACCATTCAGTGACAGAGAAAAATTTCTCTTTGGGACATTACTTTTTAGGTCTTAATATATTTTAAATTATTGAAAAAAATAATTATTAATAAAAAATAGAATTAATTATATATATATATATATATATATATATATATATATATATATATAATTATCAAAAAAAAAAAAAAAAATTATCAAGTTTCTATTTTTTTCCCCAGCTTTAACCAACTATGTTTACCGGATTATGATAGCTATGAACAGTTTGAACGAGCTCTCCTACTAGCTATAAACGAAGGAACGGAAGGATTCGGAATGATCTGATGGGTTTTTCCTTCTGTGATATTCTTGTTTTGCTAATATAATTTTATTTTTCTTATCGACCTATTAAATATTAATATAAAAAACAACACATGCTTTCTATGCTCATCTCTATTTTGTATTACTAAGCATGCTCCAGTCAAATGGTGGTTTTAGTGGAAAATTATTTGATGGATTTTCATTTTTGCATGTTTATGGTGATTGGTAAAAATTATCCATGTACAAAAGTGAACTAAATGAAATTTTATGTAACGTACGTATTTAAGATTCACTCATCTGATATATAATTTTATAAAAATCATTTCTCTAAGTTACAGCACTAACAAACTTCAACAACAGTGGCAATGTTCCTTTATCGTGTGTGATCTATTAAACCTCTGTCCTATCTGTCATTTAATTATAAGAAATATATATATTATAAGGTTAAGTTAATAATAAAAAATTATAATGTAATAGCATCGATCATTAAGAGCTGTTAGTGCTTTTGTTAAAACAGCTGTTGCCACACTGTTCTAACCCAGATAAAAAATCTTAAATACATGAATCATGGAGAATTTTATATAGTTTTTTAATTTTTATTATTTTTCTTCTTTGATATCTTTTAAATTTACATTTCCTTACACCATTTGACTAGACCATAAATTGAAGGGCTCCTGCCAAGAAGGTTCGTTCTGACCTAATCTGACTGATCCTGTATTTTGTTGGTCAATTTCCAAACCGTTCATTGTCTAATATAATACAAGAAGTTGGCATTTTAAGAAAATATGTTATTTTGGCCCAACGTAAGACTTTTTTATTTATCCCTGAAAATTTAAAAATATGTTGTAATATTTTTTGGAAGGAACTCTTCAATTATTTTATAGTAAATGAAATTAAGAATTTCCATTACATAAATTTTTTGTTGTAAATATTTATTTAAACATATTTTGTTTAATTTAATTTTTTTTGTTAGAAATAAAATTAATCCTGATTCAGGAACCAACCATAAGTATTTAACAATGTTTCTTTAATTGAGATAATGAATGAAAACCCATTAATTTAAGAACAAAATATAAATGTTTAATATAAGCAATAAGTTTTTAATTTGGAAACACAATTTTATTTTTAACTAGGTTATATATTTAATACAATATAAAGTTGCTTTATTTTTTTGAGTGATATGAATATATTTTAATTTATTTTTTAAATTAATGAATGATAATATTTGTATACATTTGTGATAATGCAATCTCGGCTCATGGAGTTGTTTCTAAAAAGAAAAAAAAAATAGTTTAATAAAATTAACTGTTTTTTTTATACATAAAACTGAATAACTAACAATAATGTTCCTTATTGTGTACAAAGTTTTACATAACTTTTGTGTAAGTTACTAATTTAGTGATAGTGAAGCATCAGCTTTAATTAACTTTATGCCTAATTAACTGTTGACAAATGAAGCTTTTTCGCTCTTGTGTATATTTCGACTATAACCTCTATTTAGGAATGTGCTAATCCAGTTAGTTATAAGTTAAAAAAAACAAATGTTCAATTATCAAAAAAACAAAAAAATTATAGATATAAGTTATCTCATCATAGATCGGTACTAGATTACTTTTAATCTATCGTACTTAGAGGCCTTATTAATATTTCGTAGTATAATTGAGGGCCAAGTATTTGGAGCATGGTAAATATGACTATGATGTCATAGAAAAGTTTAGATGTTTTCGGTCCAAAATTAGCTAAAATCGTTTGGGAGTAGCCGATAGATAATTTTACTCAATGCCCAATTGTGTGTATGTACTTGTGCATATTTACTTAAATTTACTTAGTGCAAAAAATATTCTAATTTTAATATATCTGCCACTGAAGACTGATTCTTAGTCAATTTGAAGTTATCGATATCTCTTATAGAGAAGGCACCATTTTATTATTTAAATAATTTTTTTCTCTTTTTTTAAATTTAAGAAAATTTTCCACAAACTAAAATTATAACTATCATTTATTTCTGTGATATTGAATTCAAGTAACTTCATCTGTGTATAGATTTAAATCTAATAATGTGTAATTTCAATTACTTTAAAAAAAATCTTGTATCATTGCTATTTTGTAAAATGTCAATGAATATATAATTGCATTAAGGCTTTGAAGTTCTAAGGCCTTAAATTTAACTAGGACAGTGCTGGAGAATTCAAATTATTTAATTATACTCTCATTGTAACTGTTTCTAAATTTACGTTAATTGACTTGGTGGATTGTACAGTTGCCTTTAAAAGTTATCGCTTCTTTAAAAAAATGTTTATCTATATATATCGCTTTGAAAATAGAACAGCATTAGAATTTTTCTTCATAAATTTTTTCATTCTAGATTATTAAATTAGTGATTGGTTTTGTATCCTTTTTTAAATAAATAGCTCATTTCTTTGGATGGTAATTTTCAAATAAATAAAATCAATTTATGTTGTCCAAGTATTTACTTAGTCCTATAAAGAACTATGTTCCCATTAGATCATTTTTTTTTTTTGGGCGGAGATTTTAGATGTTTCACTATGACAGTATACTTTAGTAAGTAAATTTTCTCATATAAACACATTGGTCATTCATTCTACATAGTATAATTATTTTTGTTTAAATATATAATCAATCCGACATAATTTTTCATATTTTCAGTTTAGTTTCAGGCACCCTGATTTTAAAAAGATATTTTATCCTAATGAAATCTATAATTTTTATATCATTTATAACACACCATTGGAATTACTATATGGTTATTTTACGAGACGATGTTTCTGCCAAAACTTGGGCCATTTCATACCTCGTCAAATCCATAGTCACTATTTTTTTCTCATATGTTTATTTATTTTATTTTTTTATTATTTCTTAATGACATTTACAACTGTATTAGATAAATACATCTAGTAAATTTGAACATTCTCATATATTTAGTTAAGGAAGGACACATTGTCAGTTTTCATCTTGGAATTCTCCTAAGTCATATGTGGAGAGACTGAATGAAAATGTATGAACAAATGGCTTTAATTTATAAAAAGTTGATGACACCATAAATAAGAGAAATGAATAGAATTATAAAAGATTTCCTGAGTTATAAAAGATTCATTTTATAGAAACTGGTTGAAATTTATTCACACATTTCCGTTAGTACAATAATTTTTTTTCTCAAGTATTAATTTTTAATATTAATTACAATGATAAAAAAAAATATATTAAATATCTGTCACATCAATCTCTAGCACATTCTTAGTTATATTAAATAAAAATTAGTAACGTTAAGCTGCTGTATGATATTTAAATATTGTCGTCTTTAAAGTTATAATTAATTTTTATGGAACATTTGATGTTATTGTCATTATATAATTTATTTGTTTGAAAATGTTATGAATTTTTAGTTTGTGAAAAATTCAGTTTTTGATGCAACATTATAAAGAAAAGGATTTTTAACACAACTGAAGTTGTAAGTTGACTTAAGGTGTGTTGCCATTTAACAATATTATTTATATATTATGGTTTTATATATTATTTATTTAGAATATTTATATAAGCATATTAGTACGATATATTTACTTTATTAAACTCATTAAAAGAAATACTATTAATCACACCCAGTGTTTATTGTGCTCTGGTTCATTCAGTTTTGAATTTTTAAATTTAACTCATTGAAATGCTGATGTTTATTCAAAGTTAATTCATAATTGTTTTGAAGATATTTTAAAAAATACTTTATTTGTTTTCAATTTATTAATTAAAATCAGCTAGTTCCCTAATCAGATAAGTTAATTTATAAAAAAAAAAAATACTAGAAAAAGTATACCATTTATTCTTAAAAGTATTGTAGGCATAATTTCTATTAAATTAATATTAAGAAATTATTAAATTTCTTGAATAAGGTTAAAATATTTTAAAATGTTTATTGCATCAGCTTGGTTTGCAAAATATATTTATATATATGGAAACTATGTATATAAGGAAATCACAATTGCTCAGAATGATCAAGAGAATATTTTGAACTTCCAAAACCTCTTGATAGCTGATATTTATGAAGTATATTAAAAAAAATTATTATGCCTGAAAAATATTAATAAAATACTTCAATAAATTAAAATTGCAAATTTTAAACATGTTTTCAAATAAAATAAATTTACGATTTCTTCCAAACAAAATTGATTATTATTATTACTTTTTTTTTTTGCTCATCTGATTTTGGAACTGAACGACTCAAATTATAAAACAAAAATATTATAAAATTGTAATCGATGTTATGAATTTTATTATGTCTCGACAACGACTAGCTTAATATATTAAACACATATCAGGTTTTATTAATGACTATGAATAAATAAATAAGTATATGTATATGTATGTTTTATTTTAATGTTTTACTGATAAAGTTTACTGAGTTATGAAAAATCAACAGTTCAATATAATTTCTTGACCTGTAAAAGTTTAGGAATCACTGGTATTTAGGACTGAATTTTGAATTATATTTTTGTCAGTGGTTCTTAACGAGAAGTAAATGTCTCTTTTATGTCAGTGTAACAGCAAGAAATAATTCATGAGTATTTGTTTATTCTATAATATCATTCTATTTATTTTAAAATAAATGAACTCAATAGATGTCATTTTGTAAATAAAGAAGTAGAAATTAATATTTTTAAAGTCAAATAGTTGCCAATCTCTAAAATAATTAAGAACCACTGAATAAAATAAAAACAATTATTATAAAAAAATTTTAATTACAGTTAATGCAATCATAGATCTTAATTTAGTTGTAAATAAATAATAAAAGCTTTATTTTTGATTTTTAATTAGATTAATTTAATATTTAATTAGCATAATTGTGTCATTTTCGAAAGTACAAATAGTTAGGTAAATATTAAAAGAAGTCGCTATTTATGAAAAAGTTGGCTAAAAGTGAAGAATAAAACAAATCATACATTGGCCTAAGATGATGGTATACTGTACCATTTTTGGGGGAAAATATCCCGTTTGTAATTTTGCTTAATGTATTTTAGATGCTTCGATAGCTATCGATTTTTAAATATAGAATATATTTTTAATTTTAGAATTAAATATTGTGAAATTTAATTATAATACTTAAAACATTACACGATTGGTAGTTTGTTTTAAAAATAATTATATTGATTCTGATGCAGTCTTATAAA